AATTATCCATTTATGCGCTTTTTTAAAATCATGGTTCTGAACGTAGTCGGATACCTTAAGATACAAGATCATTCTACTTAGGTTATTCATTGCACATACGATTGGGGGATGACACTCAACTAGATAAGCACAAACCATCACACAATCTATCACCAGAACTCAAACGCAGAAGGATGCGCCTTAATAGAATGAGAAATAATACACACAATAAGGAAACGAGAGAAAACTAATGAATGATATTGGTTTAAAAAATGCTTTATTAAACTTTATCCAATAAAATCCCTACCTAACAGCTGTTCAAAACTGCCACTGGTATGAATTTGATGGCTTATATAAAAGGAGAGGTGCACCGCCATTACTAGTGAAATACAATCAGGGCTGGTCTCGTAAAGCAGGGTGTCCAAACACGCGGCCTGGTAAGTACATGTGGCCCGTCACATGCAAATTGCGGCCCACCGACTCTTTTTAAAAAATTTTTAAATATCAGGTTTTTATAAAGTCTTTTCATTTTGAAATCATTTAAGGGAAAATTTAAAATTTATACGTATATATATATATATATATATATATATATATATATATATATAAATCTTCAATGTATTTGCCTGTTACCTGTTCTTGCTTTAAAATGAATCATTTTTCATAATATAGGAATGTCCTTTAGATTAAAATATATTTATATTTTATCAAACAGTTATATACATTTATTTTTTCTATAATAAATTACTTTTTAAAGAATTACGAGTTATATTATGCAAATCTTTACTATGGATGAGTACATGATTCTGTGTGTGTGTGACTTTCATTTCTCTTCCTCCTTTTCTGTTTGGAGTGCCCAAAAAGCAAGAGGCAGTCAGCGATGTTTTTTAAAGTTTAAAAAATATTCAGGACGGCTAAGATAAATGACATTGTATATTTAATAGTTTGCGAATGACAGCACAATCAAATTTCAGCAATGAGTAACGAAAGATCAATTCAAAAGGAACACCGTAAGTTTTCAAGAAAATTGCAATTGTAATATTTTAAGGCTACACGGTACCTTTTTCAAAAGTTCTTTTTGGAGACAGTTACAGTAAAAATAATTGGTGTTTTATGTTTAGATTATATTATTATGCTGATTCTGTAAGCAAAAGTCAGTTTCCCAGCCATTATTTTACAATTTTAAAAAATTAGGAATTTTTGAAGTTTTTTCACAAACTATTATAAAATACTTAATTTTTAAAATATTTTAGTTATTATTTCTTAAGTTATTGCCAACAAAAGTTAGTATGGATTTGAAAATCCATTCCTTGTTGATTTTAAATAATTATTTTTCTAGAAAAACCTGGAAAAACAAGAAATTTTTAAAATATCAACTTAGCATTTCTTAGAAAAATAAATAGAGATCTCAGCCCTACATCCATACTAACTTTTGTAGAACATACGTTTGGGAGTATATACAAAAAATTCAAAGCTCTATCTTTAACAGGAAAAAAAGCCTTAGGGATTAGAAAACACTTATACCTTCCAAATGGAAATTCATAAAACAAAAACTTGTAATACCCGTAAAGCTCTAATTTTTAATATGTTATTTTCCAATGTATGTTCTGCATTAAAACACTATTTTAATTAAATATGACTAAAATAATATTTTTAATTCAAAATATATGTATTTTTTTGCATAATATTGATAACATTTGTTAAGACGTCAGTTTATTCAGCTTTATCTTAACCTAATATTTTCTCAAAAGTTTTGAAACACATAGCATTTATGTACAGAATAAAAATAATACTATCTTAAGCTAAAAACATATAGTCAGATCTGCTCATAAAATTAATTTTTAGTTTTAAATTGGGGCAGTTTAGTAAGTTTTAGCTCTTGTCGTACGACTAAAATACTAAAATATAGTACTACAATATGTTTAGTGTAATGTAGTTTGGTACATCAAGGAAATATTCAGTTATATCTGCAACATTTGAATTCAGAATACTTGTATTCGGAAGTCTAATTGCAGAATCATCAGAGGAATGATTTTTAGGTACACATCTTTTTCAGTAGCATTCCATCTCTTCAAAATAATGTTTCTCACAATAACCTGAGAACGCATTTGCCATGGCATTTTCTCTACAGGAAAAAGTTAATGATAAAGCTTTTAAGTTATATAAAATATTTTTAACGCAAAAATTGTAATGAAATTAATCTTAGTTAATTAATTATGAGAACTCAAAAAACTGAAACATAATTAAGCAGAAATGATTTTAGTAATAAAAATTGGAATTAATAACCATTTCAAACTAAAAGGTCAAAAATATATTTAATTAATCCATTTTAAAAGTGGAAAAATGCTTCAAAATGAAACCGAAAAACCATAGCTCATAAAACTTCAAATATCTTAAAAACTATTTTAATAACATATATGAAATTTCGTGGCAAGCTTTTCAATGATATGGGCCACTAGAAAATGCAAAAAAATAAATAAATAAATTCCGTGAAAATGAAATTTTTAGGGTACTGTGTAGTCTTAAACTTTATTTGATAATTGCATTATTATATTGTATAAATATTATTATATTATTTAAGTCTGTATACACGAAAAATATAATGAAAAAATAATAATAATTCATTCTGTTGTAAATTTTCACTCAATAAATGTTTTTTTTTTGTTTCCAAATCTGATATAAAGGTACATATTTTATATGCTTCCCGCGAGATTATAATGTTTATCCGAAGTGGCCCGCAAGGTCATTTGGATTGGATACCCTGTCGTAAAGTACAAGCAACTAGTGTTATCCAGGCAACTAACACTGGACCTACACCTGGGGAGCAATTTCTATGACAGCAAGAGCACTGTCGCGGTTATTCCAAACACACTGACCACAAATTTATACTTCAGTCTGGCAATTTAACCCACAGTACTGGCCATTTATGAACAGCATTCAAGGGGATTTTTCCAACAGTATAATGCTCGACCTCCCACCGGTGTTGAAGATCGCCAGATATGTCTCCAATTGAGCCAAAATGGGATATCATTGGAAGGCAACTCCGACATCATCCACAGCCAACACTGATTTGAAACAACAAGCCAAGAATTGAAACAAGTACAAAAAGCATGGAACTCCGTACATCAAAATGACATTCGGCATCTATTTGACACTATGCACATACATTTGCAGGCTTCTATTCGATATTCTATATGTTACATAGGTTATTAATGTAAAAAAGTTTCACATTTGAAACACATTTTCTTGAGCTTAAACCTGTGATCTTCAAAATGTAATCAACTAAACATGTTAAATAGACAATTGCATTGTCCAAAAATTTCATTACTCTACAAAATATTTTCTAGGTGGGATTTGTTTCCGTCAGTTTATTATTACAAAATCTGTATATTAAAAACTTAATGGTGATTTCTTTTCATATTTTTTTTTTCAAATTAAAAAAAGAAAAGGATCTCGATCCATTATTAAAAGGCACTTACAACTTTCAGGTTAGGTAATAAGTGGATATTATATATCACAGAATATTCTTTTGTTATTAAACATTTTCGTCATATCAGATAAAATTTGTTTTATGGTAATCTCTCTCTGAATAAATTATGTTTTATCATAAAATGTAATGTGATATTTCTTGCAAACAAATTTTAAGATGGAAGTATCGATGAAAAGATTTTTTGATTTGGGGGTCAAGAATATTATTCCCGTTGAATTTTTTAAAAGATCTGAAGCTCGCTATAATGTAAGTATTATGTAAATAGAAAACTAAATTTTGAAAATGATTACAGAGAATGTGGGCACACAAAGCAATCTAACAACGGAAAAATTTTTTAAAGATTATTTTAATATATTATAAAAAAAAGGTACTTCAATAACGTTTACTATTTCAAGTGGAATTATTTAATAGTAGAATGATATTTTACTATTTCATTAATTTATTTAAACCTTACACCTTACCTATTACCTTCTTTAAACTTTGTCAAAAAAGTATTTCAATGAATGAAAGTTTATCATTATATGGAAATAAATAAGGAGAATATATACAAATCTTTTTAATGCGAAACTGATTAAAGTTGATTATTCAATTAATTCAATTATACCTTTGAAAAGATTATGATAATTGGCTGCTATATGGTTTTGTTTGATTGTGTCGGTGGTTTAAAATATTTACGTTTAAATTTTTTATTTCTCTTCAAGTTTCAAAATCAGCTTAAAATATAAAAATAATTTTAGAAACTATTTGTCAGAGAAGTTTTGAATTAACTAGTATGTGCGGAAATGTAAAATAATTGCTTAAACTCTATTTTTAAGAAAGATCAACCAAACGACATAGTTTCTTTTCTACGTGTTTCAAATAATAATGTTCAGCAAATACTGATTTTTTCTCTCAATCCCTTAACCCGTTCAGGACAATGCAATTTTTCCAGTTAAGCATAACTTCATTTAAAATTCAAAAAAATCTTAACTGTAATAAAATATGCCGAAATTTATTGTTTATAGTCCTTCAAAATTCCATAAACCCCATGAATGTGATCATGATCACAAACGGGTCAAGACCCAGCCTGCAAATTCTTGCTGCATCATTGCGTTCCAACAGGTAGGAAACATTTTTTATTGTTTTTTTCCAATGTAAGTAGTGTCAGTATAGTGACAATAACCAGAATAATGAACATTTACAGATAAAAAAAAAGTGTGTGTGTACTTATGTACGCACGTAAGAAGTTATACTTCTTTGGCATAACAAGATAGAACTTTTCTAAAAATATTTAGCAGGACAAACTGAGCCAAGGACGAAAGTCGGTCACGAGCGAAGGTGCACGATACTAACCTTCAGTCTCTCAATCGGACCAGCCAGACCTGAGATAATCACGATTTAAATAAATTTAAACACCCCCGCTCAATAACAATAGGACCAACAATATGGGGAGGGGGTCGAAGGCGGGAATGATCTGTCCCGTTTTGCATATTTCTAGACAAAGCATTTTCGTATCCGTTTCTAGGGAACGCAAAGCAAAGGTTTACTGACGTGGGGTATAGCTCAGTGGTAGAGCATTCGACTGCAGATCGAGAGGTCCCCGGATTCTCCCTTCTTCAGGGAAGTGAAGAGAAATATTTTTGTGAATTCAAATTGGGAATGATCTGTCCCATTCTGCATATTTCTAATCAAAGCATTTTCGTATCCGTTCCTACGGAACACAAAGCAAATGTTCGCTGACGAGGGTGTATAGCTCAGAGGTAGAGCATTCGACTGCAAATCGGGAAGTTCCCGGTTCAATCCGGGTCCCTTCTTCAGGAAAGTGAAGAGAAATATTTTCTTGAGAATTTAGAAGCGGGAAATGATTTGTCGTTCTGTATATTTCGTACAAGGATTTTCGCATCCGTGAGGGGGGCTTGCGCTGCACTGTAAAACACCCTTCATCCTTTTTCTAAAGCCCCAAAAGTGTAACTAAAAATCACGGGGTTTATATAAAGGAATAAAATATTAACCATACACAAACCGCATGATTCGAGATCTGAGCCCAAAGGTACAATATTCACGCCCCTTTAAAGAATCAAACATAATTAAACATGCACTGTAAATTTTCTTTTAAAAAATTCTATCATTATTATATAATTGAATATATTTCTCATAAAACCATTCATTGTATCTAGTACATATAGGTGATCTAACTTTCTAATTTAATGTTGACTTTTCTGCTTGCATTATATTGCAAAAAATGGAAACTATTCACGTGTTTATTGCGATACAATAATAACAACAATAATAGAATTTGGTGACACTTTTTACATGGCGATGTATTGGTGAAATTGATCAACGATATAGTACGCAAGTATCAAATATAGCCTTAATGAGAAATTTGATAAGTATAAATGTCAAATATTGCATTAAAACCAAAAATTATTAAACTAATTAATCCAATTATAAACTCTGGTGAGCAAAATACAACATTATCTGATCCTAAAATAGTAACTTTAGAGAATATTTCAGCTTATTATTATGCGATGAGACTTCCATAAAAAGTCAGAACTAATTAAATTCTTTTCAGAAAAGATCTAAAAAGTCTTAGATAAAAAAGCGTTTTACCATTAGTATTAGGGTGTTGAAAATATGCTGGCTGTGTTTTCAAAAAAAAATCAATTAAAAAGGAGAATTTAAAAGTTCTTATAAAGCAAATTTTAAACCATTCAGACATGAATAAAGACTTGATAATTGTTGTAAAAAAACCTGTAGACTTCGAAAAAAGAAAATATTCAACAATTCCTCCTTCTAAAGTCTAGGAAAAAGAAAGAATGGCTAAAGAAATTCAAATGCAAAAACTCCTTTAATGAATAAAAGATGTTTCTCTCCTTATAAATCATGTTTGTTTTAATTCAACCAGCAGCAGACTACTTTTATTGTTTATGGCGAAATCAGATAAAAAAAAATATTTTAGAAAGCTTACGTATATTTTGATAGTTAATCCTAGATTAAAAAACGACCATGATAAAGTAAGAACTAATTTCATTAATGTGAAATTATTTTAATTATTTAAATTAGTCCATAATATTTAAATAATTTGCTTAATTCTAAGCTGATAAAAATTTCACTTAAAAAAATGTGCATGAAATTTTTACTTAATGTATGCGACTACGTTCGGAACCGTGATTTTAAAAAAGTGCATAAATGGATATTTAGTGTCACTTGAATTAGAATACATGTATAAAATTGTGTTAAGAACATTTATAGACAAAAAAAATATTTAAACGCAATATTTTGGTAAAAAAAACTAACTTAGAATAACCTTTTTTCAAAATGTTCTCCTTTTATAAAAAATGCTTCTAAAATAATAATATTTTGTGTGTGTGTGCTTATATAAAGTAAAGACTTCTCCAGAGAGTCTAAACTATTTATTTATTTATTTATTTATTATTTATTTATTTATTTTTTTTGAAAAAATTTACATTATTTTCAAGGGTTTCAACCCATTGAAATAATTGTCGGCGT